CTTTCACAAGAAGAGCTAAACTAACCAAGTGTAACTAAGACGTTTAAAAACACAATAAAACGCTATAAATTTCCTTACAATTATAACAAAGCTTTTATATTAGCTATGTAACCTGTAAAAACAGTATATTTTACCTACTGAATACTTAACTGTAGGTTTTATTTGAAAGTCTAAAAGTGGTACCATTATTATAACATACTTCTATTCAAATTTGATGACATGCACTTATTTGAGTTTCGGTTGCACGGCAATAGCTACTTTGATAAAATTTTGGATCCCCTAAATAAAGGGACGTCTTTAAAAAAATCAAACACATGTAACTGTTTCAGAAATTGCTAGAATTATTAAATATAAAAAAAATAATTTAAAAAAAAATGTTTACGGTAGGTTATACATTCCATCCTATTTAATATTATATATTAATACATTAAGAATGTAAATATAGATTCCTAAAAAACTAAAGATTTTTCAACTAGAGAACGCCTACCTTTCTGTGTAGTGTGTTTCGTATCGAATTGAAATCATCTAACTTACGATAAACTCGACTACTCGATATACTTTACTACATTCACAACACATATCAAACTTCGATACCTAAACATAACTAGACTCGATGCTCCAGAACCACGACACCAACTCGTTTACTTCACCAAGCTCTACAAACGGTACTCCCAATCAACAACGATTTCACTGGACCTACTACTACACTTTAACAGTCAATATAATTCGATACCTTAATACCACAAGAATCAATACTCCCGAACTCCAGAACTACGATACTTCATCACCTGTATTCTCATTTCTCTGTTATCAATCAGATTCCACTAGACCTTCAACTACAAAACAGCCGAATAAAAATTATGACACTTTAACACTTCAATACTTTATACCTACGAAACCATATCAGCAACAGCCTTACGCCGTTACTCTCAAATCTAAACGATTCATCGAAGCTTACCAAACAAGTACAATACTTTGAACACCCCGTCATTACAAAACTCTATACACCAGGACAGATTTCCAATTCAAAGTCAGAGAAAACGAGACTTACAAGCCTTAATAAAATTAGATAACCGTTTAAAATGTTTGAAATTTAAATTACGAACTTATTTAATCGTTTACTACATCAATTATGTGACACCAAATTAAAAAGGCAAAGTGACTAGTAAAAAGCGCCCCGATCTTTCCAAATTAGGGAGGTGGGGGTTGCATTTTCACCATCGCGAATAAATATAGGCCTATATAGACCTAATTTTGGGGTGGGGGCGCAAAGTCGATCCTGGGTACCGAAATAGATCGCTACTCCTTTATAAAAGATTAGACACTTTTTGATAATCTTTTCTAAATACTACTAACACTCAACTTTGTTTACACGTTTGAATATTTATTTATTTGTCTGATTTGCTACTGGAGAGAATCTGCACTATGTGTAGAGCTGTAAAATAGTATGTAGGTAGAGAACAATTTTTCTTTTCAGACAGACTGTTGATCACACATTTATTTAAAGACGTTAATTAATTTATTGATTTATTCATAGGTAGATTAACCACATTAATTTTAAAAGTTTAGAAAAACGACTTTACTTTGAGCGAATAGTGACGTCACATGATTTGTTTACTTTTTTACATAAACAATGGCGGCTTGCATCGAAGATTGTGTTCCCATTCCAATGTTTAACGCGTTCTAAAGCTAATTTTCTGTCGGCTATAGCTTTTATGATACGTCCGTTTGCTTTTTTTTATTACGTTTCAGCACTATTATCAATGTTTTAACATTTCTTTTTATTTTATTATACAATACATTTCTCTAGATCTACAGATCAGCTGTCGAAGGGAAAAAAAGTTATGAATCTAGATCTAGGTCACTAGACTTAACGTAAATTCTAGATCTAGACTTAATATAAGTTCTACATCTAGAATCTATTTCAGGTCGTAATTATTTTATATAAATCTTTGCTTGTTTAGCTATGGAATTTGGGATATAGATCTAGGCCCCTTATTAAATTTAAAATATTAGGACCTATTCGCGTAACTGGTTTCTTAATTTGCAGTACAGTATAGGACTAATTTTACTCTGGTTAGTCAGTGATGCTATAGCTAAGATGATAGTGGAATGGCTATTGTGCGGGTGGTATGGGTTCGAGACACATCAGGGCAGGTCAAGTAGAGTTCGCCTGTTTCTTTGTCCTCAGCATATAAAGGGACAGTCGGGGCAGAGACATGCTCGGACGGAATCGTTTTTTAAAACGATAAAAACATGTCTTCTGTGACTTGAGGGGCACTGGGCAGGTGAAGTAGAGTTGAGTAGGTCACTTGTGACGTCCGTATATGAAGGGATAGTGTGGTCAAACCCATGCTCAGCCGAAATCGGTTTTTTAAAGGTTTAAAGGGAAAAAACCGTCTTTTTGAATGTGGGGTCTGGTTTTTTGTGACGATAAGTGACAGACGTGATGTTTTTTATGGATGACCTCCCCCCCCCCCCAAAACCCACAGTTATCCAAAGGATGACGGGTAAGTCGAGTAGCAATTAAATCTTTTTGCGCCCCCACTAGGGATGGCGCCCTAGACTACCGCCTTATAGGTAGCGCCGGCCCTGCATACATTTAGTAATGTTTAGTCGAATGTCGTAAATACCAGCCTGGGGTGGGGGTGTAAATAGAAATGCCAGCCTAGGGGGGGGGGTGTAAATAGAAATACCAGCCTGTTGTAGGTGAGATCAAACACATTGCGTGAGCTCAATCTTAATTAACCTAATTAAAACTTACTATTCGATGGGGTCTGCTAACACAGCACTTGTGTTATCGGCCGTTGAGTCACGTGATGCAGACCACACCAACACAGTGCTAACAACAGACGCACACACCCTCCACCAAGTTATAAGACGCCAGCCAGAAGATGCTATCATACCTATTGTTAACCCATTATTGCTGCATGAAAGTAAGCCACATTTTTGTTCTCTCTCTCTCTAGTGGGAAAACCCGTTGACCAGAGATAGGTTAGGGCCGCGCAAGTCGCAGGCTCGGGATGTGATACAACATTAGACAACAGGACCACCAGTGATGGGAAGGGGAGTGGAGAGATGCCTCATTGTTAAGTTTATCTTATCAGTCGTCGTAATACCATCTGGAAATAGCAAAGGTGGGAAGAGGGGAAAACGGTCGTGGTGTTAAGGAAAGGGTTAGTTAACTGAATATGTGCTAGAAATGTGTAAAATAGACAACACAATTCTACGCTAGACAACGACTGGGCCGATTTTAAACCCCGTTAGCTTGGAGTTAGGAAATGGTCGATAATATAACTAGAACGGTAGATATGTAACCGTCAATAGAACTAGAACGGTAGATATGTAAACATGAGATCACGACGAAAGCCCAGATAGGATTTAGTGTAACGGTCAGGTAGGACTTAGTGTAACGGTCAGATAGGACTTAGTGTAACAGATAGGACTTGGTGTAACGGCCAGATAGGACTTAGTGTAACAGATAGGACTTGGTGTAACGGCCAGATAGGACTTAGTGTAACGGTCAGATAGGACTTAGTGTAACGGTCAGATAGGACTTAGTGTAACGGTCAGATAGGACTTAGTGTAACGGTCAGATAGGACTTAGTGTAACGGTCAGATAGGACTTAGTGTAACGGTCAGATATGACTTAGTGTAACGGTCAGATAGGACTTAGTGTAACGGTCAGATAGGACTTAGTGTAACGGTCAGATAGGACTTAGTGTAAGGGTCAGATAGGACTTAGTGTAACGGTCAGATAGGACTTGGTGTAACGGTCAGATAGGACTTGGTGTAACGGCCAGGTAGGACTTAGTGTAACGGTCAGGTAGGACTTAGTGTAACGGTCAGATAGGACTTAGTGTAACGGTCAGATAGGACTTAGTGTAACGGTCAGATAGGACTTAGTGTAACGGTCAGATAGGACTTAGTGTAACGGTCAGATAGGACTTAGTGTAACGGTCAGATAGGACTTGGTGTAACGGTCAGATAGGACTTAGTGTAACGGTCAGATAGGACTTAGTGTAACGGTCAGATAGGACTTAGTGTAACGGTCAGATAGGACTTAGTGTAACGGTCAGATAGGACTTAGTGTAACGGTCAGATAGGACTTGGTGTAACGGTCAGATAGGACTTAGTGTAACGGTCAGATAGGACTTAGTGTAACTGCCCTACGTATTACCCCAGCACTGACTATGATTGCCGCAGACAGAGAAACCATTAGGTCGAGACAGATAGATAAGACGAAGACAATTATGGGCCCATTGTCTAAAGCCCAGAGATCATATTTGGTGAGTCTGGGATACGGGGGCTCGACTCGTTCATTAGATGGGAGGGAGATGGGACGATGGTGCCAAAAAGAAAATTAAGCAACGTCTATAAAAATGTGGGTAGTATTGTGATGGTTTATTCTTTATGGCACAACTAAATGTATTCCTATTTGTATGTTTTAAATGCTTTTAATTTGATTGTTGTCAGTTGTGTAATGTAAACTAACCTTGACGGCAAACAAACACAATAACATACAACATAAAACAGGAGTATAGGTAATTTATAATATACCTAATGGAAATAGAGGAAGTAACTCGAGAACTTAATTGGAATAAAAGAAGAATTTTGAGATGTTTGTGTTGTGACAAACGTTTGTTTAAGGCAACCATATGAAAAGTGTTTGTTTGTGTTTGTGTGCATCACACTCGGTACAGACAACGCACAAACAACAGCAAATGATGGACATGGGACTTAAACATCCTGCATGCAGCACCAACTAGAGTAGATCTGATGTACTCACTATTATGAAAGTCTGAACTTTTGACCCCCCCCCCCCCCAAAACGCTTAACATCTACGTACTCACCTAGACTGTCTATCCAAAACCTTGACCCTTAGCCCCTTCCACCCAAGTACTCACCTAGACTGTCTATCCAAAGCCTTGACCCCTGCCACCCAAGTACTCACCTAGACTGTCTATCCAAAGCCTTGACCCTCCCACCCAAGTACTCACCTAGACTGTCTATCCAAAGCCTTGACTCTCAGTTCCTCCCAACGGTTGTTTAAGAGGCTCATCTGTGTTCGAATCTCCTTGTCCTCCTCGGCCGTGACCTTCCCATCAGCAAGAAGGTCATTCCCTTCCTTCAAGACCCCGCCTATACTGTCCTGGTGTCTGGTCAGTTCCACCATGAATTCCTGTCAATGGAACCAAACAACAGGACATTAAAATACACTATAGGTGAATCATAACACAACGTGAAACAAGATACATCAGGGAATACAACGTACATCATCAGACACTATCTACCACATAGAACACAGTGTAAAACAAAACGCTGTAGTGAAATACCCACAAGACAAAACGGACAAAACACCACACCATATAGATCGTCGCCCAGAACATAAGCCAACAGTAAACAAGTAAGCAGGCACAGTGATGGAATCAACTGGCCTACACAAAGTTACCTCATGTTGGTTGAACTGTTCCTTGACCTTGTTGACCTCACTAGCGATTGGCTCCTGTTTTTCTATAACTTCCTCAGCGTCCAACAACCAAGTGAGGACATTCTCCAGGGCGTCCTGGTAGGACATCAGGTCCACTGACACGGTGCTCATTGTGCTGTGTCGGGACTCAGAACTGCTCATGGACATGGCCGACTGGAAGTAGAAAGTAAAGGGTTACATCTGGGCAGAATTCAACAAGTGAGTAAAGGGTTACATCTGGGCAGACTTCAACGAGAGGTTAGAGGGTTACATCTGGGCAGACTTCAACGAGAGGTTAGATGGTTAACTTTGGACGGATTTGATCGAGAGGTTAGATGGTTAACAGTGGGCAGACTTATACGAGAGGTTAGAGGGTTTACATCTGGGCAGATTTGAGCGAGTGGTTAAAGGGTTACATCACGGCAGACTTCAACGAGTGGTTAGAGGGTTAATTTTCGGCAGACTTAAGTGGTTAAAGGGTTAACTATGATCAAAGTGGAATAAAAGGGTAAAGGGTTAATTCTGGGCAGAATGAAACGAGATAGTAAAGGGTTAACTTTAGGCAGTATGGAACAAGAGGGTAAAGGGCTAATTATAGGCTAACGAACAAGACATAAAGGGTTAATTTTGGGTGGAAGAAGAGAGTAAATGGGATACTAGATGGTGCTATGTATGTTCGGCAGTCTGGAACACGCGAATAACAAAGTTAACAAGACAGAAATAATTTAATTTTACTCATACTGCAACAAGAGGAACTTCCGGCAATCGGAAACTATACGTAAAGGGTTAACTTAGGGCAGATTACAGAGTGGGACATCAGATAAAGACGAGCTTAGGCAGATTATAACAAGAAAATGTATAGAGGGGTTGGAGGCCGATGTTGTTACTGATATAGCAATATTGACATACATTTTTATTTCTACGCCAAAGGTAGCCACAGGTACAGACATTAGTGCTAGTGAAGACAGAACAGATTAAGACAGGATCCAAGCCCACCTCTCGCCACGGTACCAAATCTCCAGGTGTACATAGCACCTGGTTTAAAGTTTAAACACTACGACAAGTTAGCTCTACAAAATACACCGTTTTGGATAGTCCACTTTCTTTACATTAACAACATTGAATATCATTATTGGTTAAAAGGCGGTATTGAGTTGTCTTCAAACTGAAACTAGATGATGATATTTTTCGGGAAGAGTTAAATATGTGGTAACTATGTGTATATAAACCATTCCTTAATTAGGTTGTCAAGTTGAAAGTGTATTTCGCGATTATTAACAGCTAGCGGTGTTGGACAGGGTAAATTGCGAGACAATTAAGAGATAATTGCTAGAGACGGTGTAATTAAATTTACTGTAAGTGCAGTCCGGTCGTTCTAGGTGTACTGTAAAACTAAACCACGCGACCATCGCCGGATGTAGGAAATAATTTTATACAAGGTTTTCACAGACAAGAGTAAGAAATTAGGTAGAAGGGCCGCAAGGGAGAGAACCGTGTTGCACCCAATCCAGTTCTTTGATGTTGGGCACTTTGCTCGGGGAAGTCTGGGATACAGGATATCACGTGGTTTCCCTGGTCCAATAGAATCACACGTCTATACCGGATGCCGACCATCATTGTTTAAACACGTTTTTAATACGTTTAAAATGTTTTATTTTCATGAAAAGAAGTTGTATACGTATTTTACTATTGTAAATTACATATTTCTTCATTTATTTATATCAGAATGTGTTAAAAATTGTTTTTTTTTACTGGCTGCTTTTAAGACAGATGAATGTCTAGTTTGTAAATTTTACAACACACCCGAACTTTGTGTTGACTCAAATTCACATGTCCTCTTTATACGACCACTAAATGAACATATTGTCTTTAGGGCCTTTTTAATTAGCCATACCAGAAATTTAAGTCTCTAAAATTGACAATAATAAAACGCTATTATTTATGTATGAAGTTGATATTGGTCAAGTGAGAAAAAGTTGAAATTATTCAAGTGAGAAAAAGTTGAAATTTTTCAAGTGAGAAAAAGTTGAAATTTTTCAAGTGAGAAAAAGTTGAAATTTTTCAAGTGAGAAAAAGTTGAAATTTTTCAAGTGAGAAAAAGTTGAAATTATTCAAGTGAGAAAAAGTTGAAATTTTTCAAGTGAGAAAAAGTTGAAATTTTTCAAGGGAGAAAAAGTTGAAATTATTCAAGTGAGAAAAAGTTGATATTATTCAAGTTAGAAAAAGTTGAAATTATTCGAGAAAAAGTTGATATTGGTTAAGTGATTAGGGTATAAATAGAAGCTCCAAAACATCCAAATAATTCCAGCCTCCAAATTAGAAAAACATCTAAATTTAGCTCCCCTCCCCTTTCCCTCCCCACCTCTATTTAAAACCAGATCTGAGGTACCCGCATGAAAATAAAACACGCCTAAACCAGCAGACAATGAGTTAATTGTGAACAGAATGCTCGCCCATTGCATTCATCTAGGGGAGACAATTATTTTATTATTCCATTTTTATCCTCCAGGAAATGTTTTCCTTCAGCTTGACGTGTCAGTGTAAACAAGAAAAATGTGAACAAACGAAAATGGCGAGCTGATCGAGAAACTTTATACAGGATTTATAATTTTCAGAAATCTGGTGTACTGACGCTCAATAAACATTTCACGTTTAAGCTGTTGAAATGATTTAAACAAGATGGACGTCAATAATTTAAGTTTTTTTTTCTTTCTTGTTGCGTTGACACGGGCGTGGGGTTATCGGGAATTTCCGAAGCAAGTCACACGCAATGTTTGCTTGCCTTCGCACCATTCGGTGTTGAATCGGGCCCATTCTTCAAACAGCGCGTTCGGTCGGCGATATGGAAACAGTAGCGGTACATGGGTCAGTTGTCCCATAAACACGGGTCATAAGATATGGAAACACTAGCAGTACATGGGTCAGGTGTCCCATAAACACGGGTCAGTCAATATGGAAACACTAGCAGTACATGGGTCAGTTGTCCTATAAACACGGGTCAGGCAATATTGAAACACTAGCAGTACATGGGTCAGTTGTCCCATAAACACGGGTCATAAGATATTTAAACACTAGCAGTACATAAGTCAGTTGTCCTATAAACACGGGTCAGGCAATATTGAAACACTAGCAGTACATGGGTCAGTTGTGCCCAAAACACGGGTCAGGCCAATACAGATTTTATTGGGTCTAACCCAGTGGCCAAAGCACTAACCCTGACCATAACACAGTGGCCTTAGTCTAAATCATGTGGTCAAAATTTTAGCCCCGTGGCCAAAGCCCTAATCCTAGCGCAATGACAAATGCCCAAGCCATAACAAGGCGTCAAAGCCCTAATCCTAGCTTTTATCATCTGTCCCAAGCAGAAGTCAACTGCAGTGCATTTAGAAGTATTCTTATCCAATCGTATATAATTAATGGTTGTTACAGAAATTAACCCCACATGTAGCCTTATACGCGGAACCTCTTCATGAACAAAAGAACTCAGCCAAACTCGGAGCGAGGTAAGTTTAATCTATTACAGCAAGCAGTACGTCATTGTTGTTTGATGAACACGTCATGACTGACCTTGTCAGCGACACGTCATCACTAACACATCCGTTTCATTCTGTACTCGCGCCTTTAACCTTAATCTAAAACGTAACCAGCGTGTCGGGAGATAACCTACGCGATACACCGCTCACCTAACCCACGCGATACACCGCTCACCTAACCCACGCGATACACCGCTCACCTAACCTACGCGATACACCCTCACCTAACCTACGCGATACACCGCTCACCTCCAACTGAAAACATCAGCCTGACGTAACACAAAACGCACAACAACCGCCACACGTCCAGGGACGGTCTGTTGGCTTCAGGGTAGGGGCGGGACGGGATATACGTCATTAGCGCTACGCCGGCAAGTTTTGATAAAACACGGTAATTAGAAAACCCATTTTTTTTTAAAAAATAACTAGGCATGTACGATTGTGCCAAATTATTGGTGCAACGCGATTTCTCTGTCCAATCGATTTAGTATTCCCAGGATGTGACGTTCCTACCCACGATAGAGCGAAAAAAAATGATATATATTTACACTAGACAGACTCAAACGATTGCCGTAGAGATATTTCCGACAGAGCTATTGTAGCCAGATCAAATTGTTGATACATGGCCAAATGTAAAGGACAAATATCTACGTTTTTAAAAAAAAAAATTTTTAATAACTACATAAAGAAAATGAAGTGGCCGTGGTATGAATGAGAGTAAATATGAAAGAGATAATATTTAACCGTCACAATTAATTTAATTAGATAGTTGATCATATCATCATTATGAATTAATAGAAATATCTTTTCCGTATTTTCCCCAAACCCTCGAACCGAGAATGTAACCAACCTTTACAGATGAGACATGTTACTCGTATGTTTACAGTTTTTTTTTCTCTGTTTAAAATTCACCCACTTTTTCCCAGAATAATTTAAGCAATTAACTAGCACATTCCACTGGGCTCACGAGAAAAATAAATCACCGTTGCTACACACAAGGGCATTCATCAAGTAGACAAAACGCGGCCTGTATCTTGGAGTCAGGTAGAGGAGAATATATATATATATATATATATATATATATATATATATATATATATATATATATATATATATATATATATATATATATGTGTGTGTGTGTGTGTGTGTGTATACAAAGGACGATACAGTGACTAGTATCACACAGGTAGGTACTTGTGTGACGTGACACTATTTAAGTAATTATATGACGTGACACAATGGTACATACATTTGTTGTGTGACGTAACACAATGGTACATACATTGTGTGACGTGACACATTGGTACATACATTTGTTGTGTGACGTGACACATTGGTACATACATTTGTTGTGTGACGTAACACAATGGTACATACATTGTGTGACGTGACACAATGGTACATACATTTGTTGTGTGACGTGACACACTGGTACATACATTTGTTGTGTGACGTTACTCACTGGTACATATATTTGCTTGTGTGACGTGACACAATGGTACATACATTTGTTGTGTGACGTGACACACTGGTTTATACATTTGTTGTGTGACGTGACACAATGGTACATACATTGCTTGTATGAAAAGACAAAATTAAAGACTAGCAACAGTCGAACATTCAGGAATTTTAAGTACC